TTTAATTCATTTGTTAATTAATTCCTAATGATGTATGATTCGCATTTGAGGGTGATCGTTTGATTTCCCACAAGTGAACGGGATCATGAACAAGTAATAAAATGGTGTGTAGAGTGTCGAACCTACGAGGATTATGTGTTTGATCGAGTTAAAGCTAATAATTCCCTTAATCGAATAGTAAGATCGAGTTGTAACTAACACTATTAAATATATCAAGTAAATAGCAAGCAAGGTAAAAGTTTATCAAATTTTACGAGAAGTATTGCTAAGATGTGGAATCCCTATTGCTACTCCATTTTTAGTTCGACAATTTAAATTGACAATTTGAAATCATACTTGTTGGTCAATGTTCCTATTTAATTGAAAACCTCTCTCGATAGTTATCAAATCTATTCCTCTCATGTGACCTTCCTATCCCTCGATGAAAGATGCGAACGTGATAAATGCATTAAACGAGTTAGAACATCTTATAAAAATCATATGAAGTATAGAGGTATATCTCTATCCTCTATCTAACCTCACAATATTTATTATTTTGTGCTAATGATCCTATTGTCTCTCTCGATAACAACAAAATCCACAAACAATTCAACTAGTGGCCAATTAATTGAAAATCATGAAAACTTTAATAAACATCTAAACAATTAAACAAATTAACGTCAATTAAATTATTCAAATTAAAAATTCATAACAAGAGTTCATCACATCCTAGCAAATATAAAAAATTAGCCTAACATATTTAAATTACAAGAAATCATATATAAGTGGAAAGACATAACCCGGATTTTTGATAAATTGAGAAGATGAAGACAAATCTTGAAATCTTGAATCTCTTCAAAGGTCTCTTAATAAATCTCCACTTGTGCTCTCTCTTCTTTGTCCAATACCAAGTTTGAATCTTGACTTGATTGAATTCTTATAAGTCCCCTTCAATTCTCTCGCAAAAACAATGAATTCTCCTCCTGATGATGATAATTGATGAATATTGGAGTATATTATGTATATGAGAAAATTATGAGAGCCCCCTTTGTGTATTCTCCCGTTGGGTATCTGTAGTGGTCGAAAATTGGTGAAAAATCACGTCCAAACTGGTTTCCAAAAGAGTTCCAATCGAATAAGGAAAGTTACACTTGCACGCGGATTTTTTGTCCCTGCACAGTAGTCAGTATTTTGAACATAACTTTGTCTGCCGTTATCTGATTGAGTTGATTCAAAATGTGTTGGAAAGATAACTAAAAGGGCTACAACTTTTCTAGAAATGGAAATTTTCCAATTCGGATTTTTACTATGCCAAAAATTGGTCGCAATCCTTGACTAAAAATCTAAAAAATATATAATGTAATTGGAAGTCGATTTATGGTAATATTCTGATGATATTTCATTCCTTTTTTACTTCTAATTGCATCTAATTGACTCCCATCAATCTTTAAAATATCTCTTATGATCCAATTCAATCATTGGATATTTGCAATTTGGTCATCAACTTTGTACTTCGCCATTTTTCGTTGTTTTTCACTTCTTTCTTTGTACCTAATAAATGAAATATATAACAAATTAGGCTATAATTGCTTTAAATAACTATTAAATGTCTATATTTTTAGGTCTACATAAGTGTATAAATTACACTTATCAAAGACCTCCAAACTTAAACGTTTGTTTGTTCTCAAACAAAATCATAACTGAACTTAACAAACACACAAACATGTAAAATATTTTGGTTGGATAATCTAGCTTTTTACATCGGGAATGGAGATCACCTATTAAATTTACAAATTGCTTCAAAATCACAATACCAAACCAATATTCATTTTTTTAATGCAAAATTGACATGTGTGTATGAAGAACTAGGTAGACATTAATGACTTCACAAGTTATTCCAATTTTCGACCCTCTATGGTCAAATTTATCCTTTCATCTCTCGTAAGATTCACATACTCCAAAACTTATTTTTTTTCACTCTTTTCCCAGCGTGTGATCTAAGATTGAGTTTTTCATTACTATCCTCACCCTTTCCAATTTGGGTGGATGTCAGTAGTTGCAAGTCAAAACAGCAATGAATAAGGATTCTCCAATTATTTGATTGCTTTGACTGCAAGACTCAACTAGGCTAATTATCCTTCATCGAAAGTCAAATTCTCTCGAACAAGTGTTAGGACTTAACAAGGCATTTAATGCAATTTATTATTATTATTATTTTTTTTTTTTTTTTTAATTTTTGAACTCTCCCTTAAGCTTTCTAGATTATCCGTGTAGCAGGCTTTAAGCTGATGACTCTCAAGTCGGACGAATATAGGGCACTAGATTTTTAAACAACCTTATAGACTTAATAACCCGAGTCATAAAGGTTTCGAAGAGAACAATTATTATTATTTTTTCAATGACAACTTCATCTCTAATTGCTTTCTAAATGACCCCTGTAGCGAGCTTTAAGCCGATGACTCCCAAGTCAGATAATTTTAGGGCATCAGGTTTTAACATACCCTTGCAGGCTTAATTGCTTAAGTCATTAAGGCTTCAAAGAGAAGTTTTAAATTCTAAAATATATGTCTTGATTAGTGCAATTTCCCTTATCATACACATATTCAAGAAAACTGAGCTCCAACTCAAGACTTTCACCCAATTTTATCCTATTCATCTCAGACAATCTACACAATTTTTTTTCACACAAGGAATCTCTGGCCACATCCGTATTTTCTTACAATAGTAAAATCACCCCAAACTGTACTAAATTTGGTCTAATGATAATTAGTTTAATATAGTTTGGGTAAAGCATCTACGTCCAACTAAATCTACCTATAAACAGCATGAAACAATTCATTTCATCATAATGTCAAACCCAATTCTAGTGCGTGTATAATATCAAATTTTGCAAAGTTTCTAGCACGCAGCATATCCACAATTCATAAATTAACACTAAATCTCAATTTAGATCATTGCCGGTCAGGCTATCCAACCCACACAAGCACACAACCTAATAAAAAAAAATTTTGTTGTTGTTGTTGTTGTTTTTTTTTTTTTTTTTTTTTAAGTAGTACTAAACAAACGCACCAAAAATTTTGTTCTTTTTTTTTTTTAAGTTGTACTAAACAAACACACAAGCATACAAAAAAAAAAAAAAAAAAAAACACTCAATGTTTTTTTTTTTTTTCACCCCCAAACTTGAACCCGACATTGTCCTCAATGTCATAAAGCAAAAGTAAGAGTATAAGGGAATGGGGAAGAAAAGGAAGAAAATACTCTCCGAAGTTTTCTGTTGAATATGTGAGGCACTATGGATGACGGCTCAACAATCTCTGTCATCATATTTCTCCTTTGGTCTAGTTGGTTTGAGTGTTCCACGACGTCATGTTCCTGACATTGCAGTTCAAATCAAACATTAAAATTCAAATAACCTGAAACATGTGCTACTTAGCCCAAACAATCAAAATACCAAAAATAAATTAAATGGCCTAAGAGGAGTATCAAGGATGGCGATACCCTACAAATTAAAACGTACCTAAATCTAATACAACATAGTAATCAAAACAAATCTATATGCTATGTGATGCAGAAAGCAAAATAACTAAAAGGGTTAAAAGATTGGGTTCTCTCCCAATAAGTGCTTAATTTATAATCTTTAGCTAGGCTGTATGGATGAATTGATTACGGTGGCTTAAATATGTGTTTTGAGCTTTTACACTCCTTACAATTTTCAGCCTTGTATCCTTGTTTTGCCCTCCAAACCTTGAACCCTCCATTGTTCTCTCGTCCAACGCTTCCTAAATTTTTAGGCTTTGTCTCCTTCGAGCCTTGTTGCACCTTTGCAGTAATATAATTGCACTCCTCCTTAGCTTTTTTATTAATCTCTCTATGTACTGGATTCTCGATAGTGTTGTAGATCTTAAACTTCTCTTGTTTATCTTCCATTCTCAATGTTAGTTCGCCACTTTCAAAGTCCATGACAGCTCGACTTGTTGATAGGAAGGATCGGCCCAAGATATGTAATGCTGCATCCCATGGCTCTATATCTAGGACAACAAAATCAATGGGGAATATAAATTTTCCTACTTTAATGAGGATGTTCTCAACCACTCTTCGCGGGTATTTGATTGATATGTCTGCTAATTGAAGGGAGAAAGATGTGTCATTTAGCTCTTCCAATTCTAATTCTCTGTATACAGAGAAGGGCATTAGGTTTATACTTGCTCTTGAGTCACATAAACAATTAAAATTTGAATCATTCCCTATTGAGCAAGGCATTTTGAGACTCCCTGGATCTTGTAACTTAGGAGGTAATTTATTCTGCAATATGGCACTACACTCCTCATTTAACTTGATGGTCTCAAAATCTGTAAGCCTTCTCTTTTTGGATAGAATCTCCTTCAGAAACTTTGCATAGTTTGGTATTTGAGATATAGCTTCAATTATTGGAATGTTAACATGAGGCTTCTTGAAGATATCCAAGAATCTTGCAAACAGTTCTTCCAACTTCATCTTTTGCAATCTCTGTGGAAATGGGACAGGAGGCACATGAGGTTTGATAGGGGCGATTGTCTTAACCTGTAGATTTTCTGACTCTTGATATGGAACTACTTTATTTGACTGTTCAGATTTATCTACTTGCTCCTCATCTATGGAAGGTACCTTTTCATTTACTTTCACCCATCTTTCGACTGTGATTTCTAGAAGTTGAATCCCACTGCGTGTAGTGATTGCCCCAACCTCCTCATTCTCTACAACTTTTACTGCCATTACCTGCTGCTTAGGATTTATCTCAGTGTCGCTTGGCAATACTCCTTGTTGTCTTTCTAATAGTGCTTTTGTTATTTGCCCCATTTGATTCTCCAAATTTTTTATGGCAGCACCCTGAACTTGCAAGCTCTTATTTGTTCTCTGCATGTGTTGAGTGGATATTTTTGCTAACTTAGTCACAAGATCTTCTAACGAAGACTTCTTCTCATTCTCCTGAAACCCGGGTAGTGCGGTTTGCTATGGCGCGATCTGAGCTCCCTGATATTACTCTATTGAAAACCTGGGTGATTTCTCCAGCCTGGGTAATATGTGTTAGGATTTGGATTGTGTTGTTGCCTTTGAAAATTCTGAGTATAGTTCACATCTTCTATCGTCTGAGCAAAAGGAGATCCTACGTTACAATCAACACTCTTGTGGTTCCTTCCACAATGTTTGCACTTTGGTCCCACTGTCTGAGCTACACTCATCTGATCTACTTTCTGTGCCAATGATGCTAATTGTGCTGAAAGTGCTGTTAAAGAATCAACTTCAATACCCCAGCAGCTTTCTTTCCACTCGTTCTTTCAGTAGACCAAAGTGCACTAGTAAATGCCAAATCCTCGATGATTTGGTAGACCTGGTCCGCAGTTCTTTTTGTGATAGAACCATCGCACACAGAGTCTACGTTAGCCCTGCTAATCGGGTTCAAACCAATGTAAAAGTATTGCACTTGAAGCCACTTCTACAATCCGTGTTGTGGGCACTGGCGAAGTAAACCCTTGTATCGTTCCCAAGCCTCTGAATAGCATTCTGAGTCCATTTCCTGAAAAGTGGTGATCTCATTCCTTAGCTTTGCAATCCTTTTTGGTGGGAAATATTTGCTAAGAAATTTCTGACTCAGTTGGTTTCATGTTGTGATGCTCTACGATGTGCAAGTGTCTAACCATTCCTTTGTTGAATCCCTCAATGTGTATGGGAAGAGCCTTAGTCTAATTGTTTCGCTTGAAACCCCCGAATACTCAGTTGTTACGTACATGTCCAGAAATCTTGTTATATGAGTGTTGGGATTCTCTGTAGCTTTCCCAAAAAATTGTAGCACATTTTGGAACATGTTGATGACATCTGTCCTTAGGTGGAAGTGTGCCTGACCAAATGCCGGATATACGATACTGGACTGGCTTTCTACTACCAGTGGAACCATATACTCTCCCATGAGCCTTGTATTTTCATTGACTGCAGCGATATTCGGTTGTGCTACTCCTAGATTAGCCCCGGCTATTTGATTCGGATTTTTGTTTGCCATGTCCTCCTCTTTCTGTTTTTGATGTGTTTCAAGCTGTTGTCTTCTTCGAAAGTTGAATGTTTGTTTGATTTCTGGGTCAAATTGAACAAGATCACCAGTTCTCGAACTTCGCATACAAAGTCTTGAAAAAGAAAGCAAGAAACATTGTAAAAATTTTCTAAATTAATGAACTAAACTAAAAACAAGAAAAATTTAGATTAAAGTTAAAATTAACTAAAACTAGTAAAAAAAATAGTCCTTGACAACGGCGCCAAAAACTTGATCGTTTGATTACCCGCAAGTGAACGGGATCGTGAACAAGTAATAAAATGGTGTGTAGAGTGTCGAACCCACGAAAACTATGTGTTTAATCGAATTAAAGCTAATAATTCCCTTAATCGAATAGTAAGGTCGAGTTGTAACTAACACTATTAAATATATCAACTAAATAGCAAGCAAGGTAAAAGTTTATTAAATTTTGCGAGAAGTATTGCTAAGATGTGGAATCTCCCTTGCTACTCCATTTTTAGTTCGACAATTTAAATTGACAATTTGAAATCATGCTTGTTGGTCAATGTTCCTATTTTAATTGAAAATCTCTCTCGATAGTTATCAAATCTATTCTCCTCATGCGACCTTCCTATCTCTCGATGAAAGATGGGAACATGATAAATGTAATAAACGATTTAGAACATCTTATAAAAATCATATAAAGCATAGAGGTATATCTCTATCCTCTATCGAACCTCACAATATTTATTATTTTGTGCTAATGATCCTATTGTCTCTCTCGATAACAACAAAATTCACAAACAATTCAACTAGTGGCCAATTAATTGAAAAGCATGAAAACGATAATAAACATCCAAACAATTAAACAAATTACCGTCAATTAAATTATTCAAATTAAAAATTCATAACAAGGGTTCATCACATCCTAGTAAATATAAAAAAAAAATAGCCTAACATATTTAAATTACAAAAAATAATATATAAGTGGAAAAATATAACCCGGATTTTTGATAAATTGAGAAGATGAAGACAGATCTTGAAATCTTGAATCTCTTAAAGGGTCTCTTAATAAATCTCCACTTGCACTTTCTCTTCTTTGTCCAATACCAAGTTTGAATTTTCACTTGATTGAATTCTTGCAAGTCCCCTTCAATTCTCTCACAAAAACAATGAATTCTCCTCCTTTGATGATGATAATTGATGAATATTGGAGTATATTATGTATATGAGAAAATTATGAGAGCCCCCTTTGTGTATTCTCCCGTTGGGTATCTATAGTGATAAAAAATTGGTGAAAAATCACATCCAAATTGGTTTCCAAAAGAGTTCCAATCGAATAAGGAAAGTTACATTCGCACGCGGATTTTTTGTCTCTGCACAGCAATCAGTATTTTTTCATAACTTTGTCTCTCGATATCCGATTGAGTTGGAAAGCTATCTAAAAGGGCTACAATTTTCATAGAAATAGATATGTTCCAATTCGGACGTTTACTATGCCAAAAATTGGTCGTAATCCTTGACTAAAAATCTAAAAAATATATAATGTAATTGGAAGTCAATTTATGGTAATATTATGATGATATTCCATTCCTTTTTTACTTCTAATTGCATCCAATTGACTCCCATCAATATTTAAAATATCTCTTATGGTCTAATTCAACCGTTGGATATTTACAATTTGGTCATCAACTTTGTACTTCGCCATTTTTCGTCATTTTTCACTTCTTTCTTTCGGTTTAACTTCCAACCATCGAATTTTACGTAATAAATGAAATATACAACAAATTAGGTTATATTTGCTTTAAAGAACTATTAAATGTCTATATTTTTAAGTCTACATAAGTGTATAAAATACACTTATCAGAAGGCGCTTTTTTTTTTTTTTTTCCCTTCTCTTATATTTAACTTTGTGTTTTGACATAGATGACGAGCTTGGTACAAAAGGGTGGAAGCAGGAACTGCAATAGAGCCTTCCACAGTGTTTGACTTGGAGACAGGCTCGGTTCCATCTTAATGACTAAGTAGTATGCTGAGCTCCTTTGATCTCATTATGTTTTATGTCCATGTTCTCGACTCGTCATTCTACCTACTGACTTATATTCTGATATAATGCCCATATATAACTGCTACTATATAGGATGTATTGAGTCTTAAATAGTTTGCTACAGTGCCATATCTGATATATAATTGCTAATGTTAAATATCTAGCTTTTTCTATTGCACCTAGTAGAAGCGGTAAATATTTTTTGCCTGGTAGAAGAATGAAGTGATCAGGTCGTGGTGCAAGACCTTTGTAGAATTTCCCATTTGTGGTATCACTCTGGAAGAATTGCCCACAATTCTAAATGTTTCCATGTTTGAATCATTAAATCGATATTATTTTGACGTTTTAATCATCTTGCTGTTATCCATGTCTAGCTCTACACAACATGGACTCAATTTTATATTGTCAAACTTTGTGCAAAACATATTTGGAGCATTTTACTATCTAGTGGACATATTATAGAGCAGATGCATTTATTTGAAGGGGAATAAAGAAATCATACATTGAATTTTAGTTCATTTATATATAGATTAAAGAATTTTTTAATATTATTTAATTAAATATTAATAAAATATCTCGCTATTACAGACATTGATTGTTGACGATCAATGGTTAACATCCACCCTAACTAATCTCAAATCCTGGATTTGCCACTGGTGGGTCCGGCTTTTAATTGGTACCTAACATTGATGGACATCACGTTGCAGTCCACCAGTATTACTCAAGACAAAGTGTGTCAATTAATCTCGGTGAATTGAAGATAAATTAAAAAGGGTTTTAATTTACTTCGTATGATAATGTGATCGAAAACCTAACGGATCGCATACAAAAGGTGTGATTTACCATTAGAAGTTTGACAATTAGACATATTTAATAGAACAACTACAATATTTTTTTCTTCAAAATCATCATGTTGAGATACCAAATATACTATAAGAAGTATAACAAACTCGAAATTCAAATTCTGAATAAATTCGATTTACACATGCTCATTAGGTGTATTTGGTCGAGTACGTGAACTTCACCAAGACATTGGTGCACATGAATTCAATGAATTTAAATGCGTTTCTCTACCCTTCATCCACCCAAATATGATTTTATCAAACATCTATAATATACAAATTTGACCATGAATGTGAAATTCTCTAATCTAGAATTAGAGAGCAGAAATATAAAGAGAAACTTTGAGAGAAACTCAATGCAATTTTGATGGAAAAATTTTGTGTTTAATACGGTACATAAGGTTCTATATTTATAGACACATAGAACTGCTAATTAACTGAAAAACTAACAACTATAACTACACAACAGATTCCAGCTCAAATGACAACTGTCTAAACTAACTTCCAACATCTTAACTAGCATAACAGTCAACGGGTTTCAGCAGCAACAGAATTGGGACTGAGGTTTCTTTCCTTTGCTTCTTGGGGATTCAATTCCAAGGCTTCAGGCTTCTGCAGGTTCCAACACCCCCCCTCAAGAGGGGAATGGATATTTATCAATCCCATCTTGCGTATGAGATGATGAAAGTGGAGAGAGCCAAGTGGTTTAGTCAGTATATCAGCTAACTGATGCTTGGAAGGGATGTAGATGATTTTGATGAGACCTTCTTGTAATTTCTCTCGAACAAGATGACAGTCTAGTTGAATATGCTTTGTTCTTTCATGATGAACAGGATTAGAGGCAATGTCAGAGGCAGGTTTGCTGTCAGTGTAAAGTAAGGCTGCTTGAGGATGAGGAATATGTAAGTCAACCAAAAGGTAGATTAGCCATTGAAGTTCACAGGTGGTTGAAGCTAGGGCTCTATATTCAGATTCAGCAGAAGAACGACTGACAGTTGGCTGCTTTTTCGATTTCCAGGATATGACAGAATCTCCAAGGAAAATTGTGAAACCAGTGACACTTCTTCTAGTGTCGATGCATCCTCCCCAATCACTATCTGAGTAAGCTTTTAGGTGTACAGAAGAGGCTGCAGACAGGAAAATGCCTTGGCCTGGTGTTGCCTTAATATATCTCAGAACCCTCTCAGCAGCTTGAAGATGTGTGTTTCTAGGATTAGCCATGAATTGACTTAATGCTTGTACTGAATAAGCCAAGTCAGGCCTGGTTATTGTGAGGTATAAGAGACGACCAACAAGTCTTCTATAGGATGCAGGATTGGACAAAGGAGGTGACGAATCATTTGCACTCAGCTTTAGTGTAGATTCCATAGGAAAAGCTACAGGTTTACAACCAGAAAAACCACTGTCTTGTAGAATATCTAAAGCATACTTTCGTTGACATAGAGTAATGTCCTTTGCTGATCTAGCTACTTCAATTCCCAAAAAATATCTTAGTTCTCCCAAGTCTTTGATGGTGAATGCATCTTGCAAATACTTCTTTACAGTGTCTATGTCAGCGAGATTATCAGATGCAATTATAACATCATCAACATATATCAGTAGGGCCATGAAACTCTTTGAAGTTTGTTTGATGAACAAAGCTGAATCAGACTTCCCTTGAGCAAAACCAAACTGAAGCAAAGATGATGATAGTTTTGAAAACCATTGCCTTGAAGCCTGTTTTAAACCATACAAGCTCTTTTTGAGTTTGCAAACTCTAGGGTCAGTGGGTGAGGAATACCCTGGTGGCAGTTGCATATACACTTCTTCATGCAAATCTCCATGTAGAAAAGCATTATTTACATCAAGTTGATGTAAATGCCAATGTTTGATTGCAGCAACTGAAAGTAGAATGCGCACGGTAGTCATTTTTGCGACAGGGGAGAATGTATCAAAGAAATCAAGTCCTCCTTGTTGAGTATACCCTTTCGCTACTAACCGAGCTTTGTACCTTTCAACTGTACCATCAGCTTTAAATTTCACACGATAAACCCATTTGCATCCTATTGCAGTCTTATGTGGAGGTAGAATAGCAAGGTCCCAAGTATGATTCAATTCAAGAGCCTTAATTTCATCTGCCATAGCAATTCTCCATTGAGGGTATTGGACAGCTTGTTTGAAAGATTTAGGTTCAAAGATGGATGAAACAGAAGAAATAAATGCTCTATAGTTAGACGACAACTTAGAAGTTGAAAGATATGAAGTAATAGGATAAGGCTTACCAGGAGAAGGAAAGCAACTGTTGAAAGATACATGAGATGCTGAAGGTACCTGAGTCATATTACCACAGTAAAAGTCCCGAAGATATGTAGGAAGATGCTTGACTCTCTCAGATCTTCGAGGAAATGAAATATCAGGGATAATGGTTGGTTCAATTGGGGGAATGTGAGTTGGTAGAGGATAAGAGGTAGCTGGAGTTTTGGAGTCATAAACTTGGGGAAAGTTAGGGAAGACAAAAGGCGTATGAGTAGTGTTTGGAATGGAAGGAAAAATGGATTCATGGAAAACTACATTTCTGGAGATGAAGGTTTTAAGAGTTTGGAGATCAAGAACTTTGTATCCTTTGATGTTGGGAGGATAACCAAGAAAGAGACACTTAGAGGCTCTTGGTTGAAATTTTCCTCGATTGTTTGTAAGGGTACTGGCAAAACACAGACAACCAAATACTTTAAGGTAATTATATAAATGTGGCTTTTGAAAAAGGAGAGTATATGGTGTCTGGTTATTTAACACAGGTGATGGGGTGCGGTTTATAAGATGTGTGGCAGTTAATACACAATCACTCCAGTATGATAAAGGCAATTTTGATTGAAAAAGAAGGGCTCTAGCCACATTTAATAAGTGTTGGTGTTTTCTTTCAACTCTACCATTTTGCTGAGGGGTTTCCACACAGGATGTTTGATGAATTATACCGTGTTCTTGATAAAAAATTGGTATATTAGATTCTTGGCCATTATCTGTTCTAAGGGTTTGAATTTTTGCATTGAATTGAGTATGAACATAAGTAATAAAAGTGTTGAGTAAGAAGCGGGCATCAGATTTTGCTTTCATGAGATAAATCCAGGTAAAACGTGAATAATCGTCCACAATCGTTAGAAAGTATGTATGACCAGAATATGAAATAGTAGAAAAAGGGCCCCAAATGTCACAATGAATTAACTGGAAAACTTTATTTGAACAATTGTGTGATACAGGAAAGGGTAATTTCTTTTGTCTAGCTAAGGGACAAATCTCACATACATGGTTGTGAGTTGTTTTTACAGAAGGATCAAGTTTACTAATGACTTGCAGTCTAGCAGGGGAAATATGTCCTAAACGAAGGTGCCATAGAGCAGAATTGGTGGTGCAGGTGTTGTTGGCTGAATGTGTAGAAGGTAAAGTGGTTGAAGCAGGTGATCTCTTCTTTATAGAATCAGGAAAGTTCAGCAAGTGGTATAGACCAGATCGAACTTCAGCATGCCCAATCATCTTCCAGTTGCTGAGGTCCTGTAAAATGCATTTAGATTGAAAAAAAAACAAACCAATGGAGTGATCTTTAGTTAATCTTGAAGCAGAAATAAGATTGATATTGAAGGTAGGAACATAAAGAGCATTGTACAAGATTAAATCGGAAGAAAGAATCACAGTTCCTGTAAATTTAATAGGGACATACTGACCATTAGGTAAGTGAACAAAGGAGGGTTTGGTAGGTAGATGAATTGAAGTAAAAAGGTGATGAGAACATATCATGTGATCTGTTGCTCCAGTGTCAATGATCCAAGGTGAGTTGTTTGTGAAAGCAGAGGCAACATGACAAGAATAGGAAAATTGATTACCTGAAGTGGAAGCAGTATTTACTACAGCATCAGGATTAATGGTAGATGAAGATAGGCTATTTGCAAGGGTAAGCAGATTCTGAAATTGCTCTTGAGTAAAAACCATATTTGGGACTATTGAATTCTGTTCCAGAGAAGAAGCAACATGAGCATTGGGTGGTCGAGAATTGAAACCATTTCCAAATTGTGTAGGAAGAGATCTTTTGCCCCTAGGGCCTTTCCATCCTGGTGGATAGCCTATGACTTGGAAACATTTATCTGCAAGATGACCATGATAACCACAATGAGAGCAAAGTACATCAGATTTTCCTTTGCCTTTGGTGAATTTGAAACCATTGGAAGGATTGGAGTATTGTGTAGCAGCCATGGCATGGGAGTCAAGGGGAATGCCAACTGTATTAGTTAGAGAACGCTGGCTTTCTTCTTGCAGTAACAAAGAAAAGACTTTGCTCATGGATGGTAGTGGGGAAGAAAACAGCAATTGACTTCGCAAAGATGAGTAAGATTCATGTAGTCCAATCAAGAACTTCATCACATAATCTGCTTGTTGGCGATCAGCAAGATTCTTTAGAATATCACAAGTGCAAGTATCTAGAATTCCACAGCGACAAGTAGGAATAGGGCGGTAACTGATATACTCATCCCAAAGAGTCTTGAAATCATTAAAATATTCAGTGACAGATTTCGATCCTTGGGAAATGGAACTCAAAGATTTTTCCAAGGTGAATACTCGTGGACCATCACTGCGAAGGTATCGAACCCGCAGTTCATCCCAGACATCAGATGCATTGGTAAAATAAAGGAGGCTACCACGAATTTCTTTTGCGATGGAATTCATCAGCCATGATAACACAAGATTGTTTGCTCGTAGCCAAGCAACCTGAAGAGGAGCATTATCAGGACCAGGTTGAGTTAAGCTACCATCAATGAAGGCAATTTTATTTTTCACAGTCAGGGCAATGTTGATTGAGCGACTCCAAGCAACATAATTTTCACCAGTAAGGATCTCAGAAACCAGAAGTGCACCAGGATTGTCACTAGGATGAAGATAGTAAGGGCTTGAAGAATCATCACAAGGATTCGCCATTTATCCAAGAAGAACCAGAAAAGAAGGAAGCAGGAATGTCAAAGCTCTGATACCATGTGAAATTCTCTAATCTAGAATTAGAGAGCAGAAATATAAAGAGAAACTTTGAGAGAAACTCAATGCAATTTTGATGGAAAAATTTTGTGTTTAATACGGTACATAAGGTTCTATATTTATAGACACATAGAACTGCTAATTAACTGAAAAACTAACAACTATAACTACACAACAGATTCCAGCTCAAATGACAACTGTCTAAACTAACTTCCAACATCTTAACTAGCATAACAGTCAACGGGTTTCAGCAGCAACAGAATTGGGACTGAGGTTTCTTTCCTTTGCTTCTTGGGGATTCAATTCCAAGGCTTCAGGCTTCTGCAGGTTCCAACAATGAATATCTACGAAATTAAGGAAGTTAATCAAGTAAAAATTAACATCAAATAAATACGAAATATGTTGCCATTCTTATTTTTCCAACCTTGATCTACCTCCAAACAGACTCATCAAACTAAACAACCAAATTAAAACATGGACTTAAAACAGACTCATCAAGTTACACAACCGAACGGACTCATCAAACTGAACAACCAAATTAAAACTTGAACACAAAATCAACGAGATTTTTTGACTCAAATCACAATACTAAGTCCTTAATTTCATACGAGTTAATATTATAGCATACACTGTAATTAAAATTCTACGAAAAAGCAATCCTTTCATAAAAGTGGATTTGATCATAGCAAACAAGGAATGAAGATGAAATTTGCCATACAAGATCACCGGTATGCAAGAGACGATGATTATTGGTATGAGAAACCGCTCATTTTGTTTAGCAAATATAAGGAATAACGTAGAACTAAAGGCAATTATTAAATAAATGAAAGATATGAGCAACGCAATGTGACCAACTATGATCACTGTGGAGGGTCTGGCACGAAGATAATCATGAACTCCATTGCGGGAGGTGAAAATGGATAAGAAGGATAGAACGCTAGTGATAGAAAAGAAAAGCGCAAGAGCGTCTGAAATTGCAAAGACTTTGAAGGAAGTTTCATTGGAGAAATTGGGTATGCCATTGTTACTGTTTCCTCCAGGTACTTGGAATGCGGCGGCAAATGCCACTGTGGCAACGAGTGATGCTGCAACTGAGCTGGCAGATGCCATAGCTGTCATCCATTCAATTTCTTTTTCAGCCATTTCGGCATGCTCTTCTACGAAGATGCTAAACGGTATCTTAAGACCATTATTCTCCGCAGTACATTCTTGAGGCGTTACAAGCGCGGACACATGCTGCATAAATCGGCAAATTTGGTCGGAGATCAATTTTCATATTCAATGAAGGTGCATAACGGAAAACTGGTCGGTGATTTATCACCTGAAATGGTTCTCACTGAGAAGAGAGAATGTTTTCTACCAGTTGAAAAACAATTTTCGGATTACAAGTGTTACATTATTCCAGTCAACGCATATGAGGGTGAAGGTAAAAATATTTCTTAAAACTTTAATTAGAAACCCATTCTCAAATTTTTTTTTCCTGGAGTTTACTACTTCCAAATTCAAGTGAAGACAAAAATATGCAAATTATTTTCAGGGGCCTGAGCTTAAAAATGAGACACGTAAGAATAGTATTTTTACCACAAACCACTGAAGTTCCTCCCGCATCGGAAAAATAGCTCCAGGCTGATTAGTAAGAATTCCAGCTTGATGGGGTTTATATCCCACAAGATGCAATATATTGTTTCCTCTGACATCAGGATCTAGATAGTGTATCCCTTTCTGTTTCTTATTCCTTTCAAACGCTATGCCCAGAATGATTGGATCACGATACATTACAGCAACATGAAATATTGAATGCCCCCGACCATTTTTATAAGTTATTGCAGTAGGATCATGATGTAGAATTTCAATGACAACCTCAAATATTCCATTCTGTGCCGCTAAAAGTAACGGCTTTCCAAGTTTCTCTTGGGATTTATCCATTGATTTAATAGTTGAGCATAATTCTCCGACTAGTTCATTTGCAAGACGATTCTTCAATCTTAGTGCAGGAATGTCCCTATATTGCACTGCATTTGCAACAAATCTCACTAATTACTTCACGATTATATAATCTTTTCGGTTACATGGAGAAATTTGGTAATTCATCATACCTTCATATGCTGAACGCTCCATCCTCGCATTCTGCTCCGGGGGAACAGTTTCAGTTCTGAAACCTTGATAAACAAAGTACCAGTATTGTGAGTATTTATGCCTGACAAATGCTACGGAAACAACAGACACATATTTGATAATAATAGTAGAGAGGAAAGGAGAATAAGAGATACTTGGATGCATGAAGTAGATTAAGATCTGCCAAAAGCTCATGTGACATCCACTTAGGAAAGCACCCGGATCTCGAGCCATCTGCTCCAAAAGGCTGAAATTCTCTCGCCATGCCAATTTCTTGTTGAATTTAAGTAATTTAAGAGCCAAATCTAAAATTTCAGCAGAAAAACGTTAATAATTTTATCTCGGAAAAATAAAATTTTAAAGACTAAAGTGATATGTCACAACATCAAATCCACATGACCTCCCATGCGATTTGATAGTTTAGTTGATCAGCTAAAGAAGTTGGAAGTACTAGAGTTGATCTCACCATAAAATCCTGCTTTTATTAAAGATTCCATAAGCCCCGCACCAGCAGCTTCATTGACTAGCTTGGAATGTTTATCTTTAATGCATTCGTCTAACAAGTAAGTCGTCATACTGCGAGTATTTTCTTCTTTTGGCCTAACAGCTAATTGAATTGGCAGAAATCCATCTTTGTTTTCATGATTCAGCAATTCGCGTTTTTTTCCTACTAGCATTTCGGCATGTTGAACAAGTCCAAGTTTTGCTGCTAAGTGAAGCGCTGTATTCCCAAAGATGTCGGTCTCAGCCAGTAAATCTGGTGTAATCTTTTCCACCAGCTTGTTGATTAATTCATTTTTTCCTTTATTGAAGGCCAAGAGGAGCAGTGTATCTCCATTTTCATTTAGCCTGGCTTTGAATACTTCATTTGGATGTTCGTGGATTATTCTTTCGATACTCTCCCACGTACCATTATCTAATGCGTCGTTCAGATCTTTTATCCAATGATCATCATCACCAACTGCTTTCATATCAAGAATTAAAGGAAAATGTGATCTTATTTTATTCACAAAAGTAAATCAATAATATAGTACAATGCAAAGTCCAATAATACTTTACATGGGGCCATGTAATAAACGAAACAAAAATTAAGAAAGAAGCTTGTGACTTCACCGAAAACAATAGTCTCATTCATTGGCGGTGACGGCAGCTCCAAGTACTTCACAATTGATCTCC